ATTATATTGAATCAAAAAGGATGTAATGATGAATAAAACTCATCATATCAGCAGTGGAACATCGTGAAGAGATGCAGTCCCATGTTAGCCGGTGATTAAGAAATTGGTTTATACGCCATTTGTTGCCTCAGAATACTGTGTGATGTATGCTACTTATATTGATATAAGTAATATATGATGCGAGTTAGGAAAGTAATGTCTGGCAACAGAAGATGAAGGAAGATCAAGAAAAGAAGAGCGGGAACACAATGCAATTTGTATGAAAATTAATGAACAATGAAATGTCAGACAATCGATTGATGTTTACAACAGGAACAGTCCAGTTTGATATGATGGATTGATATTTTGCAAATTAACGATTTACTATATGGGTGTTAGATTTTATTAACAAGTGCTGTAAATTGTTAGATGGTGATTGAAGGTGGTCGACAGGAAACCCTGGGCACGGGTTTCGTGCTACTTCGCACTCATTAGCAAGGTGTACCTGTAATCTTTGAGGGAACTGGTGCTTCCTGGCGGATTCAATCCCGTGTGACCCAGCTTCACAGTCAGAGACGTTACCACTGAGCTATCCGGGCCGTGACCGACCTCCTGTAGGACTGACATGTAATCACAATTGATTGATCACTGGGTAGTGACCAATGTCACGCGTGTCTAGTCCTTATTATCGGTGCAGATCGAATGCTATCGATCATGTTGCAATGTGGCCACCAGTCTAGGTGACTGGACACCGCGGGCACTAATGTCTCTGACTGTGAAGCTGGGTCACACGGGATCGAATCCGCCAGGGAGCACCAGTTCCCTCAAAGATTACAGGTACACCTTGCTGACGAGTGCCAAGTAGCACGAAACCTGGGTCCAGGGTTTCCTGTCGACTACCTCCAACCACCATCTAATCTTACAATAGTGCCCGCGGTGTCGAGTCACCTAGACTGGTGGCCACATTGCAGCATGATCGATAGCATTCGATCTGCACCGATAATAAGGACTAGACACGCATGACATTGGTCACTACCCAGTGATCAATCAATTGTAATTTGTTGTCAGATACATTCGATTGTCTCCATCGGTGTTCTTGTTCACTACAACTGGAGCCCATGTGCACCATTGATTTGGGATCCAGCTAAAGTGCAGGACATTCACTTTTCGTCCTCTCATTTACGTAAACAACAGTAGTGCCACGAGAAGGCAGTGAGTAGGACTTCCATGGCAGAGGCTATATACGCATGGCTATGTGAGAGTATTTCAAGAGGGAGGGCGAGCTCACCCCACTCTCGGCCATACCAGGGCATTTAGGGGCTAAGTAATTATAGATTAAGAATTCATTACTGAAAATCTATAAAAGTAGTATATGATATTATAGGTGAATGATTTTTTTAATAAAATCTATTACTTCAATAATAATAATGTTCTATATTCAATGAATGAATCACTATATGTATATATCAATATAGAAGGTATAGAATGTTTTCAGGACAATTCACCTAAAGATTAGGTGTGGTAGTAATTATGTATATCTATATCTATCATGTGTGCTATTATATTCTTTGTTCAATATGAATGTATAATGTGAAGAAATGATTGATTTTCTTTTTTGTTCTTCTTCTTCTTCTTCTTCAAAGAATGACACCAATGAAAATTATATTGATTTATAAAGAAGAGAGATATAGGTATATATATCGTTAATCAATAATCCAATGGAAATGCTCATGATTAAGAAGAAAACAAACAAGTATTATAAGCAAAGATAGATAGTGGTTAGCAATAGTAAATAAGTGGTTAGTAGAACTTAATAACTAAGTGGACAATGTTTGAAGAGAACAGTATTAGGTTCGAATCCCAGAATGAACATTAACTATGAGATGTAGGTACATCTAGCTGAGTTGTAAATAGGACGAAACGTGCTTTGTTCTGAATTCCACTATCTATCTTTTCTTAAAGAGCTTGTGACTTCAGGCTATATCGAGGCAATCCGCACAGGATGCACATATACCAACATGAGACTGATCAATTGAAGTTCTAAATAACAATGGGAAGATACAAGTAAAACAATACCAAGTGAATTTAAACTTTACCCCATTGCACAAATAAGTGGCTCTCAGTAGTTAAGTGGATATATAAGATGGTGTTTGAAGTGAACGGTACTGGGTTCGAGTCGCAAACTGAACATCAACTCTTGAGATGCAGATACATCCAGCTGACGAGTCCTAGATTTCACTGCTAGCTATCATTCATCTTTGCTTACAAAGATATTGGTTGTTAACTCGAATCGTTATAGTTTCTGATATATGTAAGAGATGAAATCTTACTCATAAGGAAAAATAGTAAATATACAATAAATTATACTAGACAGTTTATTACTATTTACTATATGGCCATTATCAGTCAATTGTGATAGAACGGAATGGCATTTTGTTTTGATCATACCCTTTCCTAAACATTAAGGGAAGTATCCACTAACTCGTTGGGTCAGTTATTTGATTGTACATCCTATTTAGCTTTCAATGTAGGGGTAGGTGAATTTGTAGATATACATGGATGTGGCAGAATTGGATAACGTAGCATTAACTTGAGGGACCGCCACAGGTCAGCTAGAAAGGGCTTAAGTCCATAAAATATCCTCTTCACTCATTTAGTCTATCTTGTAGTAAATCAGTAGCTTTATCTAAGTTGAATTTTAGCTTTACGATGAGAGGTTGCTTACAACGCGTCTATGTAATTACTTTCCTGTTCATTATATACCAATACTTCTTCAGAAAACCTTGTAAGTAACCCATTAAAATCAACAAAATATACTTATTCATAGTGTCATTTGAGCATATCTTCCTAGTTGTATTTGACACTGTAGTCTTATATACTATCACTAAATAAATGATTTGAAGGGATATTGATTTCGCAGTGGTTTAGAGGTTAGGCTTTCGCGTGTGAAACTGAAGGCCCTAGTTTCGAGTCCCTTTAATGCATGATCGTGGATGCGCACTGCTGAGAAGTTCACAATAGAACGAAACGGCCGTCTACTGCTTCCAGGTTTTCAATGGTAGTCTAACACCAATCGGTTCCTGATCTCAATCAATAACTTAATAATCTCCAAGACCCTATATTGATAATTACTATGTGTTCATTAGGGAATAGTTTCGTAAGGGAATTCTCACAGTTCTAGTAAGAAGTCGTGACAAGTGGAGCTAATCCGTGTCGAGTAGAGACAAGTATCTATCTCAGTATAATGGAAGATGGTCATGCAATTACATGGATTGGTTGAAGTTAGACATTAACACCGTTGGATGCCGGCTAACTCAGTGGTCTAGAGGTTAAGCGTTCGCACGCAAGATTGAAGGCCCTGGTTTAGAATCCCGCGAGGCGAGATCGTGAATGCGCACTATTGAAGAGTCCCATAATAGGACAAAACGGTCATCCAATACTTCTAGGTTTTTCATGGTGGTCTAACTTCAATTTACTATTGAAATTACTACAATTTACACAAAAACCCCTTCTGATAAACTTCATCCTCTCTTTCTCTCTCTTCAAACTTGAAATGAACACAATCTCATTTACTTATTAAACCCATATATATTTCATCACACAGACAACCTATATATAATGAAATGAGAACATGTTTAAGGGAGACTGTTTGTGTCCTTGTTATTGTTGTTGTTGTTACTGTTTTCGACATTAAACAGAGATATGTAAACATCAGATTATTATTACTATTATTATGTAATAATGAAATAAAAGCTAATTCATTCATAAAGACGAATATACATAATAGAATTACACAATAGTAAATCCGTCATTAATATTTAAGGCATATTGTTTTCTTTTATATGTATGTATGTATGTGTGTGTGTGTGCGATTTAAGTAAGCAAAGTCATTTGTTGCGGTAGAAAAAAGAAAAGATAAACAAGAGGGGGGGTAACACAACACCGGAGAATATATGTATATTTCCATTAAAACCTTCATAAATAGAGAGGAGAAAAAACAAAGAAAAGAAAACAGAGACATCACAAACCAAAGAAAAAAGAAAAGGAAAGAAAAGAAGGGGGAAAACAACTATATGAATGGAGTTAATACTGGACATTTTATCATATATATATATATATATATATATATATATATATATATATATATATATATATAAACAATAACCTTTAAAACTAAAATGGAATGAAGCATGTATTATTTTTTATAGAATAAAAATTTTATATTAGCATAGCAACAAAATAGATTTTCTATGGAGAAACAAAAACAAAACAACAACAATGAACTTACTTATAAAATAAGCACAGTGTAATAGTCACATGGATACTAACCCGTAGATGAAGAAGATAAGGTTAAGTAGAGTGTTTGTTTAATTTCTTTTTTTTATTTTTTTAAAAAAAATCTCTTTATTGTTTTCTTCTCTTCTCTCAAGTGAAATTATCCTTTAAAGAATCAATCAAAAATAGAATAGAACAAGGGAACTCAAATTGATGAAGATATTCTTTCTTACATTTCTCGAGATAGAAGTACATTACATATGAAGAATGATACTATTAGTTAAGGAAATATGTGAGAGATATGAACGGATACGCACCCACACACACACATACACATAAATACATACGGTGTTTATGATTTTGGTGTAAAACTTTGACGTCGCTTCAAAACAAACACCCCCCCGACGCACACCCACACACACCATCAAAATGAATGACAAATAATCCAACTATCATTATGATGACAATAAATATAGTTGTTTTACAGTAAGATAGATCAGAGTAAATAAAAGAAGAAAGAACAAACAAGATTATATGTTCATATATATGTGTGTGTGTGTGTGAGAGAGAGAGAGTGCATGGGTTAAATGAAAATACAGATCCTATATTAATATGAATATACACAACACATCGACAACCATTTTCCTTTGAATAGTAATACTTGTGTTTAGTTCTTAATTGAGATGATCAAACTTGAAATGAAAAAAAAAAAAGAAAGAAAAAGTGAATAATGGTTTTCTTTGAATTTAAAGAAGTTTACGATGTAGAACACGTGCACCTTCACTATCATATTCTCTTTTAGATATCCACATACGTTTAAATGTATCTAATGAAGCTAGAATAGAACCACCAATCCATGTAGAATATAAACGTTCTTGTGGTGCAGATATTCTTAAATGTGCATCTTTTGGAGCTAAACGTTTTAATTCTAAAACAAGACGATCACCAAAACCTAAATAAAGTAAATATATATATATAAAAAGAAAGATAATGATAATAATCATGTAATAACTTTAATGATTATTAATCATTGAAATAACTCTGTATGGAGCCCCTCTAAGGTTAATGCCGATCTCAAGCCCGGATAAAGAAGGAGGGTTAAGCATGATTATTATTCGGACACATAGATATTGATACAAGGAGGCGCCCCCAAATGCCCTGGTACGGCCGAGAGTGGGGAGAGTCCGCTCTCCCTCTCCAAATGCTCTCACATGGCCATGCGTATATAGCCCCTGCCAGGGAAGTCCTACTCACTGCCTTCTCGTGGCGGGGGTGTTGTTTACAAAAATGAGAGGACGAAAAGCGAATGTCTGGCGCTTTAACCGGACCCCAAATCAATGGTGCACATGGGCCCCAGTATCCTGCGGGAACAAATGGCGTATGAACCAATCGTTGGTCACCGGCTACCATGGGACTGCATCTCCTCACGATGCTCCACTGCCTTGTGGGTCAGACGTTCAGGTCAAAGGCTCGGGGTGTGGCCCCCTAAGACAACCACCTGCTTCGGTTTGGGCACCCGGGCAGTATCACAGCCCTCACACAAATCAATTGAGCTTTGTGTGGCGCATATGTATTTTGGTGCCTCCCTGTACCTATACTTATGTGTTAAAATAAATAAATAAATAAATGATACAAGGAGGCACCAAATACATTAGCGCCACACAAATCTCATTTGATTTATGTGAGGGCTGTGATACTACTACTACCATCGAAACAAGTGGTTTTCTTAGGGGGCCACACCCAGCCAGAGCCTTACACCTTAAGGTCTGATCCACAAGGAAGTGGAGCATCGTAAGGAGATGCAGTCTCATGGTAGCCGGTCACCAACAATTATTTCATACGCCATTTGCTCGTTCAGGATACTGGAGCCCATGTACACCATTGGTTTGGAATGAGGGTTTTCAAACTCCCTAAGTGAACTCTTTATATCCACCAACCCGGTTAAATTGTCGGACATCCGCTCTCCATCTTCTCAATTTCGTAAGCATTACCCTCGACATAAGAAGGCAGTGAGTAGGACTTCTCTGGCAGAGGCTATATACGCGTGGCCATGTGAGAGCATTTGGAGAGGATGAGCGGACTCTCCCCACTCTCGGTAGTACCAGGGCATTTGAGAGGCGGTTGGGCGTGAGGTAAGCGACCACATCCCGTAGATAACTCCCTAAAAACACGCTAACCAGAAAAAAACTATTGGAATGTAAAATTGTAGTTGTTAGTAGTTATTGTCCATGAAGTCATTGAACTAGATCATGTGTTAATAAGTGTAGACTACCCTGTTTGAATTCTGTATGATTATCGCAGCTAATGGTTAAAGACTCTAAATGACATGACTCAAAATCATTTGGAATAACTCAAGTGCATCTATTCTCTGTCTTCCTTCAAATTCTAAACCTTTGAATACCCCCAAATGTCCTGGTACGGCGGAGAGTGGAGGGAGTCCTCTCTCCTTCTCCAAATGCTCTCACATAACCACGAGTATATAGCCTCTGACAGGGAAGTCCTATTCACTGCCTTCTCGTGGCGGGGGTGTTGTCTACAAAAATGAGATGACGAAAAGCGAATGTCCGGCGCTTTAACCGGATCCCAAACCAATGGTGCACATGGGCTCTACTATCCTCAAGGAACAAATGGCGTATGAACCAATCGTTGGTGACTGGCTACCATGGGACTGCATCTCCTTACGATGCCCCACTGCCTTGTGGGTCAGATGTTCAGGTCGAAGGCTCGGAATGTGACCCCCTAAAAAAACCACCTGCTTCAATTTGGGCACCCGGGTAGTATCACAGCCCTCACACAAATCAAATGAGATCTGTGTGTCGCATATGTATTTGGTGCCTCCTTGTACCAATATCTATGTGTTAAAATAAATAAAACCTTTGAATTCCTCATGATTTCTTTTAGTTCACTAATTTATATTTTCTTGAGTCGTTCCTTCGATGGTTAATTTTTTCCTATCACCAATCATATTGTTACAATCTCTAATATTCTGAGATTTGATCTGATAAAGTCACTGTGCTAATCAAGTATGACAACTTGAATCGATGTACATACTTACCAGGCCCTACATCATGACTAACTGACTGAGTGAGAAATGATGGTGCTGAAAACACTTGACTTCAAACCATCAGTTTATTTATTCCAGTGTCAGATTGGAGAGGATGTTTGAAAAAGATAAAATCTTTAAAACTATTATTGAATAATTGGTTTGTGACCTTTTTATATTGTCCTAGCAACAAGCGTTCATCATTTAGCTTATTAACTATCGATATATATTTTAATGTGCTCAACAATTATCGTTTAACAATTATGAACCTCTATTATTCAGTTTTGTATCAGTTACTGACTTTGTTGTCTACAAATCGCAATTTTCCGGTCGTTTTTATAATTGATTGAGATCAGGAACCGATTGATGTTAGACTATCATTGAAAACCTGGAAGCACTAGACGGCCGTTTCGTCCTATTGTGGAACTCCCCAGAAGTGAGCATCTACGATCCCGCACCAAAGGGACTCGAAACCAGGGCCTTCAGTCTCGCGCGTGAACACTTAACCTCTAGACCATTAAGTCGGTATCCAACGCGGTTAATGTCTAACCTTAACTAATCCGCGAAATTATGCGACCATCTTCTAACATCAATCGGTTCATGATCTCAATTAAAAACTTAATAATCTCCACAACACTATACTGACGTTTTTATTATTGGCTGAAGAGGTTACCAGTCTGACAGGAGCATGGGAAAACTTGTAATTAGTGGACTTTTTATTTAATCAATTGACGCGATTAAGTGGATATATGTTGGACTGAAGTTCATAACAAGTTTGAGTTAAGTTCCGCCTAATAAGGGGTTCAAGTGGTTGGGTAAGAATTTATCAGCTCTCATATATGTTGTGACTCAAACCTGAGGGTATACACCAACCTGTGTGTTTCGTAAATGAATTTTATTTTAAAAATGCATTCCGTTCATCGTAAATCGACCTATCAGATAACAATTAAAACGCTTAGTCTAAAGCAACGTAGAACCTGACACATACATGAATCAGTGTAAGTTTCCACACCAAATCAGCACCACTGAGATCAGTGCCAAAGTGGTAGCGTCAGTGATAGTACAGAAATTAAGTAGAATTAATTTGCGAAATAAAGGGGATGAAATAATTTTAAAACCCAAGATCTAAGGGGAGACAAGAAAATGAGCACTTCTGAGTTATATCCCTCAAAGGCTCCTCCAAATACTGGTCACAAGAATCACGTAGAACCCAACCAGATAGTCTAAACCTACTTACATGGTTGAGACCGGCATTTAATGACTTTATGAACTGATGCCACATATTTTGGATTGATCGCTCCTATCTTTCTTTTAACCTACTCCTGAGTAAGTAAGTATTACTCGGTCAACGAGGCACTGGCTAGGCATCAGTAACACATGTCCAAACCATCTCAATGGATGAAGATTTGCTACACCAGAGACAGATTTGGCACGTTTGACAAGTACCATATACCTATACCTCAATATCGCTCAATCATTCCATAAAATGCGAGCAATATATCAAAGACATCGATGATTAAAAGCCTTCGGCTTACGCATATCTTTTACTTTCATAGACCATGTTTTACAGACATAAATTAGAACAAAGTGGACTGCTGAGCAGCATACAAATTTGTAGTTAATTAATCATTCATAACAAATACAAATTAGATGATACTAGCAAAGTTTAGAAAAAAAAACTTAAAATATGATAGTGCAGCTAATCAGTTTCATCAAATGGTGGTCAACCATCAACCATCTTACGACTCCGTTAATGAGTCAAAAATGTTTCGGCGAAACACATCCATGCCTTAAGCTTATAAGGATTAAATATGATGAAACATATCCTGGATACACTTGGTTAGCGTATTGTATAGACTTAAGTCAATAACCAGTTATACATTTTCTCTACCTGAATTTCAACCACACGTTTTATGTGAAGCCTAGCGGTACTATTGTGGACTCGAACTTTCAACTAAACAGTTGAAAATCTCCTGATACTGAATAAGATGTATTACAGTAAGTTCTTCTTTTGTGAAGAATATTCAAACTAAATATGTTGGAATTTAGTGTTACATAACATATACGCGCGGTATAAAACATGGAAAACTTACTCACCTTTGAAAAGTGTCGAACCGCCTGACAGTACAATATTTTCATATAACATACGTCTTAAATCCATATCGGATTTTTGAATGGCATAAGCTAATACCTGAAAGCAGAACATTATAGATTTATACATGTGCACATTGTTACATTCATAGAATATGTTTCCAATATATAAACAAACTTATTTAAATCATGAACTAGTGTGAACCAGACCACCATTGAGAACCTGGAGGGTCACCTCGTCCTAGTCTTGGACTCTTTAGAGGTGGGTACCCAGAGTCCTGAGCGCGGGAATCAAACCTAAGACTTTCGGTCTCACGAGAGAACACTTAACCTCTAGATGCTAGACATTAACACCGTTGGATGCCAATCCAGTGGTCAAGAATTCTCGCGCGAGATCGAAAGTTTTAAGTCCGATTTCTTTCAGTGGAATGTTGTAGATATGCACTGCTGAGGAATCCCATACTGAGACAAAAAAGCCGTCTAGTGCCTCCAGGTTTTCAATGCCGGTCCAACTTAGATTGTTTCATGAGTTTAACAGTCTCTACAACTTCTTACTGACATTTGAACAACTAATAATATTACTAATGAAGTGAAACGATTTTCAGCTGAATAGTTGGTGCAACGAAGGTTGAAGATTTGAAAAAGCTAACAGAACTTGATAATCAAGTATAACAGTTTCTGATAACAATTACTGTATGAGACAGAGAGATACTATTTGACTTGATGAACAGAATCAATATCAAACTCATAACTTATAGATTGATTACAAAGGAAACATAACAATTTCGCTTTTTTTTTCGTTTGATAGATATTGTGATGTCAATTGATAACTTGAATGTGCAAATCAGGAGTTAAGGCATAGAGAATAGTTGTTTGGGTGTTCAGAGAGAATGAATAACGGAGGGTATTCTTGACCAGTTTTTCTTTATTGACGGTTATTGTCAATGTGTTTTTGAAGTCCTCTCATCGGAAATCTAAGCATGGGTTTAGATAGATCATATTGTAATCAATTACCTATGAGGTAAATAGGAACAGAGTCACGACTTTTTTTTAAAATACCTGTTGAAATTTTGATCAAGCTTTGGAATGTACCAAACTCATACTACGTTTCCATGGTCAATAAGTGAATTATTTAGCTCCTAATTTGCTGAAACAAGTAAATGAACATAGGTTACATTTGCAAGAAACCATGAAAGTAGAAAGTGAAGTTTTGCATGGCTTAATGAAAGCGTCCAGTTCATAATCATTATAAATCTGTTGGCTTGAGAAAATACTTTTGAACTTTAAGTAAATGGATAATGTTTTATTACACTTCAATAATATACAAACTAGCTAAACTGTACTTTCGGTTATTAAAATGCAAATTAGTTTTATACAACTGACTAGAAGATGTACTGCATCTACCATTAGGGGTAAATCTTTGAAGATAGTCTTGAAGTTTATATATTTGTGTAAATGCTATGGCAGATTAGATAATTCTGGTGCCCTAGTACGGTCGAGAGTCCGCTCTCCCTCTCGAAATGCCCCCACATGGCCACGCGTATATAGCCCCTGACAGGGAAGTCCTACTCACTGCCTTCTCACACCACGGGTGTTGTTTACGAAAATGAGAGGACGAAAAGCGAATGTCCGGCGCTTTAACCGGACCCCAAACCAATGGTGCACATGGGCTGGCTCCAGTATCCTGAAGGAACAAATGGCGTATGAACCAATTTCTTGGTCACCGGCTACCATGGAACTGCATCTCCTCACGATGCTCCACTGCCTTGTGGGTCAAACAGTCAGGTCGAAGGCTCGGGGTGTGGCCCCCTAAGAAAACCACCTGTTTCGGTTTGGGCACCCGGGCAGTATCACAGCCCTCACAAAAATTAAATGAGATTTGTGTGGCGCATATGTATTTGGTGCCTCCTTGTACCAATATCTATGTGTTAAAATAAATAATGAAAATAAGATTAGATAATCCTAAGTATTGTGAAAGTCATAGTTACCATCTTGGAGTTAGTCTAGTTGTAAAAGTACAATACACTAGTGAGAGCAGCTTTGTTACTAACTAGTTAAATATGGTTACATTGAGAAGAGAATATGAGAAGAGTTTCTGTGTTAGATAACAGTTACCTGACAATGAGTACTCATATTTAATGACGCTATTGTATAAGGAATTCCAAAATCTAAGAACATGTATTTGGGCATAATAATGGAAGACAGTTTACACATGTAATTCCAGAAGTTTTCATACTTTACGTTATTAGCGAGACGATAATTTATGAATGAACTAATCAAATTTAGGATAACAGATCTCGAATATTTGTCGTCAAATTTATTCATCCATTTGGTGAAATAGCGTCTTGGCATTTTAACTGATATCAGTTTGTGATGATAACCTTAAATCGAATTCTTAACTCTAACCATCAATTGCAAATCATAATTGTTATTCTTCATACAGGTTTATAACTCCCATTTAGCCGTAGTTAGTAGGTGGATATCCTCAGTCAGTCAGCTGCAACGTAGGACCAGGCACGTATATGCATCGGTCCAAGTTGCCATACCGCATTAGCACAACAAGATGAACACCGGATTCATAGAAGTAGTTAATTCAGTGGTGGTAATATATAGAAGAAAGAGTGTGTATAAGGAGATAGTACAGGAAGATAGAATTAGTTCGTAGAAAGAAAGATTTGAAGTGATTTTAATCTCTTAGACAGAGAGTGTATACACCGACGCCATTGTGATCGATTCTGAGCCATGTCACCAAGAGTCTCCAACCATTGGTTACGATAGTCACGCGGACCCCAACCAGGCAGTCTGCATCTACCAACGTGGCTCAGACCAGAAGTTAGTGACTTCAAGCACTGATGCCACGTTTTGGTTTGGCCGCCCCTAACTTTCTTTCAGTCATCCCTAACACCGGTTAGCATTGCGCGTCGTGGTAATCGGTGTTTAGGCATACGCAGCACGTGGCCCAACCATCTCAGTCGATGAAGGTTCATAACCTCATCAACTGATTTACCATCATTCCCTAATACCCTGCGTCTAACCTCACTATTACTTACCCGGTGATCCCAGCAGATGCGAGCAATATTTCTAAGGCATCTGTGGTCAAATACTAGTAACTTACGAATATCTTCTACTCTTAATGGCCAAGTTTCGCAGCCGTATAGTAGAACGGAACGAACTGCCGCGCAGTATACTCGTCCCTTAATTGATAGACGGATATCTCGCCTTCGCCATAGATGACGTAAGTTGGCAAAGGCAAGGCGAGCTTTTCGAATCCGTGCTGAGATTTCGTCAGACACCAACCCATTAGGGCTGATCAGACTTCCAAGATAAGTGAAGTTGTCGACGCGTTCGACTACTTCACCCCCTATCCTTAGTTTAGGTGTTGACGCAGACCAGTCCTGAAGCAACAACTTGCATTTAGAGGGGGAAAAGCGCATCCCAAACATCCTGGCATTGTTGCTCAGTGCTACCAAAAGACTCTGCATTTCATCAGCGTCTTCACCAAACAGGACTATGTCATCTGCGTATTCTAAGTCAATAAGTGGACCTCAAGGTCACTTTAACGTCGCTCAAAGGTCCTCCGTAAATTATAGTCTCATCAAAATCCATTTTGATTGTATTGAAGCTGCTTTTTTATTTTAAAAAAGTTATACTACTATTTGTAGTGATTTAAATGAAATGCCATCATCCAGAAGATACAAGTGTTTATTAACAGCTGTCTACGCAAAATACTTTGGATCCGTTGGCTAGACACTACACTATCAAAAACAACCTAATGTAGGAGAGAACAAACCAGATCCCAGCGGAGGAAGAAATCAGGAAGAAGTGCTGGAAGTGGATAGGACACGCGATTTGAGGAAAGTGCCCAACTGCATCACATGGAATTCTCATGGTCAAAGGAGAAGAGGAAGATCAAAGAACATATAACATTGAGAAATGGAGACAAACATGAGAAGAATGAACAAAAACTGGACAGAACTGGAAGGGAAGACCTAGGAAAGAGTGGGCTGGACAATGCTGGTCGGCGGCCTATGCTCCATTGGGAGTAACAGGCATAAGTAAGTATGATTTTCTTGTTGGGGTGTATTTCTTGGTGACCTGTTGTAGCACCGTTTTGATTGTATTGTAGTGGAAAAGATGAAAATCAATCTGTAGTTTTGTACATGGCTTCAACTAATAGTTAATGACCTCTGTTATGAAGTGTGGTATCCGAGATCTGATACTGATGCACAATGTCATACGTATTAACCTCCCCACTCGACTGACTACTGAGCAAGAAAACAAGAGTGGAGGGGAAAGTCTTTTAGGGTACCAAATTATATATATATTTCCAAACCTTAGAAAATCAATCCATTTCTCAGCTAGTGGAATTTGTTTGTTATTTAGGAAAAGCGACTTTTACATTCGGCTACTTCTGATTGGCTCACTATATCAACTACTTGAATAGAAACATCATTCAAATTGTTCGTAACACATAACCTATATTTTACATCATGGAAGGTATTAAACCATACATACCGATAAGAGTTTATACAATCAATCTTAACACTAAAGTTATTCGCTTAATGGTTACATTATATCCCTGATCGAATGTTAAAGTGGTGTACAAGGGTATCTAATATTATCATTTTTTTAAAACCCATGCATCGTATAATAGGATTAATATCAGAAGGGGTTTTTGTGGATATTATAGTAATTTCAATAGTTGAGATCATGAGCCAATAAAAGTTAGACCACTATGGAAAATCTGGAAGCACTGGATAACCGTTTCGTCCTATTGTGGGACTCCTCAATAGTGAGCATCCACAATCCCGCCTCGCGAGATTTGAAACCAAGACCTATCGGTCTCGCGCGCGAACACTTAGCCTCTACACCACTAAACCTGCCAGTATACAACGGTGTTAATGTTTAGCTTCAACTAATCCACAAAACTGAGCGACACATTCACTATTGTCTTCAATCTCACAACAGACCCGGATGAACTCCACTGGTCACTGCTTCTCACTAGAACTTCAGGAAATACCTCTTGAAGCCAGTCACTAGTGAGCATATGTTGATTAATATCAGAAGGGGTTTTTGTGTAGATTGTAGTAATTTCAATAGTTGAGATCATGAGTCAAATGAAGCTAGACCACCATAGAAAACCTGGAATTGAATATTTGACTTTTGATGGGTTTACCGATGTGAATTAATTTACTAATTATAGAGTGTTGTAGAGATTATTGAATTTTAAGTTCTATATCACTAACTGATTTAATCCGGGATAACCATTAATAAGCACGAAGTCTTGGGCGATTGTTTCATTTTAGTATAGAACTGCTCAGCAACACCAGTAAATAACTCTTGATTTTATCATAGATATCTACAATTAAACTATTTGTATCTTTTGGATTCCTTGAATGACTTGTTGAGGATGCTAGATCCCTAGAAGTCATTTGATAATTGTCTCATTTACGCGATAAAAATGCCCATTTTTACCCTCAGTTTGTATTTTCCACTTGGAAGAATCTTAAATATTATTGGTTTGTTTGCTCTTTTAGTAAGCTATCTTGTGACGCTTTTCAAGAATACTGTAGTACTGTATATATATATATATATATATATATATATATATATATATATATATATATATATATATATACGCATTAGTTGTGTACTTGTTCATTGTTGCTTCCAACTCGTGGAAAATACATTTCCCTTAGCTGAATCTGATCTTCTCCTTTTAGTTAGCAGTGCTAGGGAGCAGTGTTGCGTTTTGTTGTTGACCATTCCATCCATTCACCGGTTTAGGTGATATCATAATCTTTTAGAACGTAGCATGGTTACACATTTACACTATTATAAATCAATAATACTCATACAAATTATAAGTAACAAACATGACATACTTATGAAGAGTTCAACTAAACGGATACTACCATTAATGGTGTAATATACTTCTTTAAAAAAGTATAAAACAATAGAAAAATTAAAAAAAAAGAAAATTATGAATTAATTTACTTGATGAATACCAAAATATTCTTGACCCATTAAATCTGGTCGAAATAATAATTCTGGTGCACGAAAACGTGCTGGACCAATTTCTAATGTAGAACCATCTGGTAATGGATATGAAGCTAATGCTTCCATTGCTTCAACTTTACTTGGATTTAAACTAATAAAACATGCACGTTCCTAATTATTATCAACAAAAAAAAAATTTTTTTTAAGAAAAGAAAAATGAAGAGAAAATTAAGTAAATTATGTAGATGTATATGTTAGTATTCATGACTATAAGTTATATTCGATGTATGAAAGTTTAGTGATACTGTGGTGCGCGCTACTTATATTGATATATATATATATTAAGTAGTATCTAACGCGAGTTTTAAACGTAATGTCTGGCAGCAGAAGATAGGGGGGGGGGAAATCAAGAGAGGAAGAACGGCAACACAATGGAATTTGTATGAAAAGTCATGAACAATGAAATGTCAGTCAATGGAATTGATATTTGCAACAGGAACAGTACAGTTTGATATGAAGGATTGATATTTTGCAAATTAACGATTTAATATATGGTTTTTCTATTTTACCAATTAACTCTGTAATTTGAGCTAAATACAATTCGGTTGTCCTCACCAGTATTCTGCTTCACTACAATACTATCTTTCCTTACTCTAAACCGAATGTACGATTCACTAGTTGGAAATTAAAAGATTTAACTACCGTGAGATAGTAACTCACTGAAGACAATGGTGGATGTGTCGCTCAATTTCATGGATTAGTTGAAGTTAGCCATTAACGTTACTTAGTGGTCTAATGGTTCAGCATTCGCGCGCGAGACTGATAGGTCCTGGGTTCGAGAATTGCGGGGAGCGGGATCGTGGATGTACACTACTGAGGAGTTTCATACTAGGACGAAACGGCCGTCCAGTGCTTCCAGGTTTTCCATGGTGGTCTAGCTTTAATTTACTCATGATTTCAACCAGTATAATTGTATTTTCCTAATTATTGTACGCTGTGGTCGGGTTATTCACCTATTTATTCATGTACCTTTTTATACTAATCTGAAGTCAGAGGAAATCAGGATATCGGAAATGGATCGAGTAGTGTTCCAATTGTTTGTCTTCTCTTATTCGTGTGCTTGTCCACCAATCAGGTGACAGAATAGTTTTCTTCTCTCTACCCCATCTCGAACTCACGCATACTAGCCTCAAGGTTGGCCCGATCAGCCTATCGCGTCAAAGTATAAATCTAGATTAGAAAGTATCCTCGGAACAAAAAGTGGGTAGACAGATCACGGACGTAACATTGCATATTCTGTAAAATATCATAATCATACACATTCTTTGTTGTCTATCATTTCTTCATGAAAGAATTTACTTACTTACGTCTATTAACCCTTGTGGAGGAATACAAGTCTCACACTAGCATTGTTCATCCAACTCCGTCCTGGACAATTCTTTTACAGTTGTTTCTAGTTGCTATTCATCCTTTTCAAATTTGCTCCCAATTCTCGATGCAGTATGTTCTTTGATCTTCCACTTTTCCATTTCCCTTCAAGATTCCAAGTTATCACTTGCTTCGTGATGCAGTTTGATGATTTTCTCAATGTGTATCCCCCCATCGACTTCCAACGTCTTTTCCTAATTTCCTCTTCAGATGGAAGCTGGTTTATTCTCTCACACAGTACGCTGTTGCTTATGGTATCCGGCTAATGGACATTGAGTATATTGTGTAGACAATTGTTTATAAATACTTGTACCTTCGTCATGATGGTTGTGGTAGTTCTCGAAGTTTCAGCTCCTTACAGTAGAACTGATTGTCTTGATGTTCGTATTGAAGATTGTGACTTTGATATTGGTTGATAGTTGTTTTGAGTTCCATATGTCCCTCAACCGTAGGAATGTCACCCTTGCTTGCCAGTCTTTGCCTTCAAATCTGCATCAGACCCACCCTATTCATCGATGATACTAACTAGATACGTGAAAGTTGCCAACTCTTTCAGAGTTTCTCCATCAAGTGTGATTAACTTGGTGTTCTCCGTGTTGTATTTGAGGATCGTGGTTTTTCCCTTACGCATATTGAGGGCTACTGATGTTACACTGGATGTCTTCATCTGCATATGTTCGTGTGTATAGGATAGAAGAACTGATTCATCTGCCAAGTTCAAATTGTCTAGTTGCATCCGACCTGTCCATTGTATTCCGTGCTACCCTTGAGATGTGAAGGTATTCATAATCCAGTCAACCATCAGAAGAAAGGGAAAGGGGGAGAGTAAGCAACCTTGTCCGATACCGGTCCTTCATGAAAGACAGCTTTGATTAATTATTAAAATTGTAAAACATATTTCTCTATTGAACCATAAACAGCACTTATAAAATCACTTGACAGAATAAGAAACTAATTTTCTACAGTTAAAACTCTATTAATTTATTTACCTTTATTTGGCGAACAATTTCAAATTCTGATGTTGTATGAAAGTCAGCACCTTCTTTACGTAATAATAAACGTAAAAAACGTGTTACATCTCGACCAGCTAAATCTGTACGTTCAATAGCATGCGGAAGAGCATAACCTTCATAAATAGGTACAGCATGAGTTACACCATCACCTGAATCTAATACAACACCTGTAGTTCGTCCAGTGGAATATCTGATTATTATTTTTTTTAAAACAAGAAAAAAAGATAAGTATCAGAAGGGGTTTTGTGGAGATTGTAGTAATTTTAATAGTTGAGATCATGAGTCAATTGAAGTTAGACCATCATAGAAAACCTGGAAACATTGAACAGCCGTTTCTTCCTATTGTGGGACTCCTCGGCAGTGCGCATCCACGATCCCGCCTTGCGGAATTCGAACCCAAGACCTATCAGTCTCACGCGCGAGCGCTTAACCACTGAACTTGCCGGCATCCAACGGTGTTAATGTCTAACTCCAACTAGTTGAAGTGCTTCCAGGTTTTCCATGGTGATCTAGTTTCAATTGACTCATGATCTCAACTATTAAAAAAAAAGACAAGTTAATCTATGCCTCACCTCTATAAATCATAAAGAATTTAGTTAATTTTAACAGGACATTAGTCATGTATTTATTACAGACGAGTAGTCGATAAAAACCTGTGTATGCCAAATAGATACCTATTTTGTTAATAGTTTTAGGCGTGGTGATATTTAGTATGGTTAGTGTAGATTAAGTGTTCTAAAAGTTTGGTTGAAAGTCAAGTAGCATAATAACTTGGCTACTGAGTTGAATTGATAAACATATTCAGTAATAATCAAGGGATATCAAGGACTCTTCTACCTACAATAGCATTGAGACTGACTTATGCAGTGAAATCCCATTTTATCTATATCATTGAACAATTTAATAAGTGGATTTTTATTTGATTACCGAGTTGGATTGGTCGATCACACTTTGGGCACACAAAGTACCAAGTCAACACTTAATATTGGAGTCATGGCTTGGGCTTAGTGATTGAAGTACTTGACTTTCAACCAATAAATCTCAAGTCTAAATTGTGTTACTTTATCTATTTCAGTTTAAGTGGTCAGGTAGTATCACTAGTTCTTAGACCTAAAGTGTGGTTCCAAACTGAGTATATATTTAACCCCCAATGCCCTGGTACGGTCGAGAGTGGGGAGAGTCAGCTCTCATATACTCATGCGTATACAGCCACTGTTAGGTAAGTTCTACTCACTGCCTGTCGAGGGTGCCGTTTACCAAAGTTAGAGGACAAAAGGCGAATGTCCTGCTCCTTAACCGTGAGTTGGAAAACCCTGATTCCAAACCAATGATGCATATGGGCTGCAGGATCCTGAGGGAACAAATAGCGTGTGAACCTATTGTTGGTCACCGGCTACCATGGGATTGTATCTCCTTACTTTGCTCCACTGCCTTGTGGATCAGACCTTTATGTCAAAGGTTCGGGGAGTGGCCCCCTAAGAAAACCACTTGCTTCGGTTTGGGCATCCCAGTAGTATCACAGCCCACTCACAAATCAAGAGACTTGTGTGGCGCATATGTATTCAGTGCCCCTTTGTACCAAATATATATATATATATATATATATATATTCAAGCACCCGGTCTGGACATTCACGTTTGAAATTGGAACCACAATATTTTTCGGATGAGTTTTGTAGTAAAAATTACTTTATTGACGATAAAACTCGTTCTTTACTGAATCAGAACTGTACTTCTTCAAAGAGTGGGAATAAATAGTGAAAATACGTCTTTCTTGTCGGTTAATTTCGACAGTGACTAAAAAAATTTGGCCTAGCATCAAGTAAAGGACCGGTAATAGGGGCCCGATCATTTGGTACAACTTTTGCCTTGAAGTTTCATGAAACGATATTGAAACTAGGTTACGGCCTACAAAAATCAAGTTTAGAGACTTCTATTTAAGTCTGATATTGTTGGTAGTTATTTTTAAGGAAACTTACACTTCAAAATAACTACGATCGTAAGTATTTATAATGGAGAAACAATGTATCATATAATCGTCCATATAAAATCGATGACTTACAAACTTAATACAGCTTGCATTGAAATATAAAGCGCAGGTACACTAAAAGTTTCAAAGAATATTTCTGCCATTTTTTCTCTATTTCTTTTTGGATTATGTGGAGCTTCTGTCAATAAAACTGGATGTTCTTCACTATTGACCATCAATTGATCTTTGCCATATATATAAGCCCAAATACGTTCCATATCATTCCAGTCACGAATAATACCATGTTCAATAGGATATCGTATGCTTAATAAACCACGATGTTCCTCTGCTTTAGGACCAATAAAATCATCACCTTCAAGAGCACCCGCCATAACTCTAACATGTTTGGGACGGCCAATACTTTAAAGAGGGACATCAGAAATAAATCAACCAATTAACTTACTAATTTGGAAATCGGTACTTTGGTACTTGATCACCTGCAAAACCTGCTTTCAATATACCTGTACCCTAGAAGTAGAGAAATAATAAAAGTTCAACGTGAACTTTTAGATAATATGAAACACATATAGGTGGTGGTCAGTTACTGAAAGATGTGATAGTGATTGAAGATAGATTAGATTTGTTATGAATTCTAATACACATTAAATTGTAGTAGTCAATGTATAGGTCTTCTATTTAACAGCTTCAATTAAGATGGCAATAATGTTCTTACTGGTAAAAGTTACAAAAAAGTGGGTTTTAAGTTTGTTATTGATCAAATGTCTAGTGTTTTTTTTTGTGATGATGGAGGTCAGTTATTCGATTTAATTGATATGGACAATACAGAGCTGTGTATTGTGTTGGTTTTTAATCCAAGAATAAGAATATAGTGCAGTTCAACGCTTAGTTTTATCGTACGGCTGTACGACAGGTATTCTGAGTTGAAAATGATGTTATTTGAACAAGGCAGCTTTTGGATATTTTTTTATTACTCGGACAAGGTGTGATGAGTCAAATTACTGCATAACTAAACACCACACATAAAAACGACGATAAAAAAGTTCAAATATATCAGGAAGAGCCGGAGAGTGAATAGGTATAAGATAATCAATAATTTTCGTTCATTTAAAAGCCTTAATAAGTAGCCTGCATGTTTCCTCATACATTCTTTAAATCGAGAGATTTCACTTCTTAGTGCTTCCTTCTGGTTATTTTGCCCTTCTTTTCCACCCAAGCCGGAATTTATGCCGAAAACTGGTACGTGTCTAACGATGTAGCTAGATTTCGACTTGATAGGAGGAAGTTAGTTTGACAAACGAAAAAGGGTGAAAACTCATGGGGGTCTATTTCCATCACTGACTTGGATTTAATGTCCTTTTTTATTGGTACAATTTATGCAGTAACCAATAGGGAACTAGTCTACCTTCGATTGTATCTAAACTGTTGGGACCTGTTATACATCGCAAATTGCGCGAAACCTGACTCACGAGGAGCAAGTTGGTTTTCGATTAGGTGATGGATCACCTAGGTGATCACATCTTCACTCTTCATAAAGTGTCAGAGTATTGCCACACTTATTACAGGCCCTGGGGAGTTTGCCATAATCTTGAAGGCTTTGAACACAAATAAGGCAAGGAGGGCGAGGGTATACATCCGTCTCTTTCCACTATTCCAGTTCAGGAGTGGGGTTAAAGAGGTCTGTTCAGTCTCACCCTTCTTTAATTAGGTAATAAATATTATGGAGACCGTTCTGAAGGAAGTACATGGTGATGGTACGGATCTGTTTCCTGGAGAATTGTCGACCTTGAGTATGAGGATGATATTCTACCTGTGTGATGATACCCGACCTATCCTAATCACAGTTAATCAGATGATAATTAGTGTCCGTAAGAATGGAATGTGCTTTGTGCCTAAATGCAAAGTAATTCTGCAAGACCAGCGGGGACCTGTGTCTGCATTCACTTTTTGCGGTGATCTGTTAGAAGTAGTTGAAAAGTTCGTGTATTTGGGTAGCCGTGAGAATGTTAGTGGTGGGGTGACAGATGAGATGAATCTACGTATGGTGAAAACGGAGAGGTTTAGATCAATCTACGTCATTTTTGGTGTCATCATGATATTTTCAAGGGGTATCGGATGCAGATGTAAAGGTAAAGACCGGCAAAGAAAAGACAGCATTCCTACAGTTGAACAACATATGCAACTCAAATACTAGCCAATATTAAAGTCAGAATCTTGAATACGAACGTTAACAGAGTCCTACTATACGGGGCAGAAGCTTCGCGAACTACCACAATCATAATAAAAAAATGTACAAGTATTTATAAACAATTGTCTACACAAAATAATCAATGTCTGTTGACCAGATACTATTACGACAGCCTACTATGTGAGAGAATAAACCAGCTTCCATCTGAAGAGGAAATTAGGAAAAGACGTTGGAAGTCGATGGGGGGGATACACATTGAGAAAATCATCAAAATTCATCACGAAGCAAGTGATAACTTGGAATCCTGAAGGGAAATGGAAAAGTGGAAGATTAAAGAACATACTGCATCGAGAATTGGGAGCAGATTTGAAAAGGATGAATAGCAACTGTAAAGGACTGCCCAGGACAGTTGAATGGAGAATGGTGGTGGGTGACCTATGCTCCTCTACGACCGTTAACAAGCATAAGTAAGTTAGCAAGCAAGCATGATGTTATTCTGGCTATACCAAATTTTTAAACGCATCGATGTGATAAGTTTTGCATTATGCACGTGAAACCTAGCCTCTCCGAGTTAAATGTTTGATCATTGTTATCTCTGAAGGACTGCTAACACCCAGTGACAACATCATGTTGGTAATGCCGAGGTTCCATGTATTCAGGCGCAGAGGTGATCATTCAATTAATGTCACTGTTTTGAGACACTTGCTTGAATAAATTCTACAGATGTTAACCTAAAGGCTTCGGGATCCCTTATTTGTCTACCTTGGAATTGGATAAAAATGTGGAGAAGTGGCCAGCTTATGAAATGATACTGTATGGTACGTAGCCTGAAGTATTTAGAGTTCATAAATGATTATTTGGGAATAGGAAAAAGCTATAATAACTTATCCTTTTACGACTATTTTCATCAATATACTGAACTATTTAAAAATTAGGTTGGAACATCATTATAAATCATTAACATATTGGTATTTAGTAGTATATACTGAATCCTGATTCAATACTTAGAGGTAACCATTTGAAACTAAATACAAGTCATGGCTTTACTTGTTAGAAAATCATGGTCTTATTCAGACTACATCTACTTAATTATGTTGACATATCCAGTATCTGAATTCCAACTTTTCAGTATCTAGTCACTAAGCACGATTTTGTGAAATAAGATAATACAAGTCAGTTTTCAGAATAAAAGTTATGCTCTGGGATCTGGAGATTTATAAAGAGTCAGGTTTTTACGCATAATTTCTGAAAGATTTATAACATGTATATCGATGACACTACTCGCTAGATTGGTGAAGCATGTCAGTTTCGTTTTTATTTATGACATGGAAGTGATAACTGTTTATGGTTTACTGATGTTTGGTCACAATAGTAATTTTAACAGTCTGGATGTTAACAGGGACTTTTGTGAAGACATACATGTTTATTACTTTTCATAAAGGATAGTACAATAATAACTGCAAAACGTGCAGGTTGTAAGTTTAAGTTTGAAGGACTCATTGGCCAGAAGTTTATAACTGCTGCACATGAGACTCTTAAAATGAAAGGCTTCTGATGGTTTTGCCGTAATTTGTATTACATGAAGCACAAACTGAAAAGAATAGTAAGCTTGAAAACTTGGTTACCTCTTTGACTCGTGAGTTTCGGGGAAGAATATAAACCGGACTCACGCAACTTTGATGCTTGGATATTAACAATCGTCGTTATGGCTGCGTGTAGCTTACTCATTGGTGTATTCCACATTAAACTAATTGTCAAGTTAGATAGCTATTTCAAACATTATGGATCAGATTTCGCTGGAAAGAACTATTGTTTATGCACTGACAATTTCTCTAGGAAGGGTATATGTTTGTTTTTAAACCTAGATGTAAGTTCTACTTAGTAATACTGAAATTGACTTCACCTTAACTACCAACTAGATATCCATTACGTCGAAATAAGCAAATAAATAGGAAATAAAGAGACGATCATAAAATTTGATTCTACTCACTATATCTATAACGACAGGTTGGTTTGTTATAACATCATAGGAATCCATAACACAACAAGGTAGCGCACACAACCCAAAGTTAGCACTGTAGTTATTCAATATACAGATGTCACAGGCAATAACTTTTTACATAAAAAGTATGAATGGTAGATTTGCTGACCAGTTTTGAATTCCCCACTTATTATCTACGTAAAGACCAGGTTTTATCTAAGAAGATTCATTAATCAGACCAACGCTACATGCTCGTTTGGCACATTCCAATACCCAAGATCATTGTGATGAGCTGGTAAAAATGGACTAATTTCCCTCATCCCGCTTCTTGTTATTGCGGTACGTTTATAGGTCTCTGCGTCAACAGCTTAATGAGGAAAACAGTATTACTAACGGAATCAATTCAATGGTGATCCTTGCATCCTTTTTATTTAGGAGATCACCGGTCTGTGGAGGTAAATTGTTCCCCAAAACGAATATTTGCGTACGTCTTCGAAGTTGATGCTGACCTCACTATTATTGCTGGACATACCTGGCTGAAAACGCTCGGCCACACATCCGCACCAGGTCACAAGTGCATACTGCATGCGATGCATCCCTTGCAATTGTTACCCAGCTTAGACCAAACGGTTCACGACATGGGGATAGCTTCCCGAATATGTCTTCGAACCCCTCACTTCTGATTTTTGGTTTGACTGGATTGTTATCTTTTTATCACAAAGGTGTAAAGTATAAATAATACCATTCTAGCCCGACAATGTAGAAGCCTGGTTTTGAAACTTAGAAGCTGACTTCCACGGCATGGCGGATTCACGTGCACGATTCCTCACAGTAGTGAAGGTACCGCCGCGCGATTTTAGCAGGCACGTTATGTAAATATGCAACACTGATGCCGGCTTTACCAACTGGGGGCGAAGCTACTAGATGATTTCGCCTGTTCATGAGTTGTGAGCATATTATGAGACAGCCTGCATTAAAATCTGAAGTTTTCACATAAAGAGAGCTCTAGAATTGCGGAACTTAACAAACACAAACTCAATCCGACCTCTAGATTTCACGATTAACAGTATATAGTAAATATTTCTATCCCCATCAAGGACATTCAACCCACCCTACAAACAATTTTAAGGTTCCAGAGCATTTAACGTCTATGACAATAGTGATTTGTGTAAACCCTTAACGTCTGCATGACGTTTGTAAGCTTTTAAGCGAGAAAACCATGCCAATCTTTTCTAGGTATTCTGCACACACATAAATGTGATTGTTATTTATACTTAAGCGTCTATATATATATATACGTGGTTATGTACGTATTTTTATCTGCTTGTATGAGCTGATTGGTCATGCATCTAATCACCTACATTCAATTTGTTTATACGAAATAAAAACTAACTCATTCTTACTTAAGCCTGTTAACCCTCGTAGAGGAGCATAGGTGGCCCACCAGCACGGCGGCCTGCTTGAATACCTGGGCTACCTGTTTCTGCCATCTAGTTATTTCAACAAGTTATCTGTTTTTTTCATTTTGTTTTAGCCTTTCATTATGTCTATTAATCACATAACATATACAGGCGAGTTTATGAAAAGCCTACGACCTTTCGCTGCACAAGTTACAAAAAATTACAATAAAAGACATCGTGGTGGTTGGCAATGTGCTTTGAAGAGAATGAACATTATTCGCATGTGGATTCCCGAGTTGCTAAATTCTAACTGCCGATCATTAATTAACAAGATAGACTATCTTCAATCCCTACTAAGTCAAAATATGTATCGTAATTGTGGTGTCATCACAATTCAAGAATCTTGGTTAAACGATTTACAGGACGACTGCCTAGTATCCCTACATGATTTCAAAATTTATCGTCAGGATCGATCAAACGATAAAAAGAGGTGTGGCGGCGGTGTAGCTACTTTTGTAAACGTGAACTGGTGTCGATCTACGTTTGCGTGTCTCAAGTTTTCAAATGACTTTATCGACTGTTTAACTCTAAGATGCCGTCCAAGACATCTGAATAAATACAAGTATGTTTATGTTACCAACATCTATGTGACCACAAGACTGCACATCATCTGCGCTATCTGTCTTTGCTGATGAATTCACTGAATTCGCTGTTACTGCCTTCAGTGATTCACTTTCAGTTGTATGTGGTGATTTCAATTCATGTGACTGTAGCTTCCTTACATCGTTAGGTCACCAAAATATAGTAGATTTTCCTACTCGGTTGGATGCTCATTTAGACTTCGTTTTCATTAATGATGTAGGTATATATGTGACTCGTAAACGTGCCCCATTGTCTAGCTCGGATCACTGTATAATTCGTGTTCTACCTAAAGTATATGGAAAGCATGGGAAGAGTACACTCTTAAATCAAACCAAGAAAGTCAAATATAGGAATTACTCAGAAGAAAATATCAGAAATCTGGAAAACATGTTTCATACGACTAACTGGAATTATTTACAGATGACTCACTGGAAATCACTTCTGATGTTATCACTTGTTACCGTAAATTCTGTTTTGATATTTGTTGTCCCACTGAAACCATTTTTATAGGTTTTCATCGACTTACATCTTCACAACTAAAACGACTACGGAGGGTGAAAGAAAGAATGTACAAGAAGAAAAACTCTAGTGAAGTTCGTAAGCTAAATGCTCTGATAAACCTCGAGATTAGTCGTCTCAACATTATGTTTGCTCAAAAACTCTTGTCTTGTAAAAGCTCTTCAAGTATGTGGAAACTCTTTAAAGAACTTACAGGTGACAGACAGATTAGAACCGATAACCAGCTGGATGTTTGTGACTTAAATAAGTCTTTTTTACACCAATCATCTGATGTGATGCTCCCTTTATTCACGGGTTCAAAAAATAGCTGTGTTCCTAGTTTCACCGGAACTGATGTCCGAAAATGTCTCCAGTCACTAAATTCATCCTGATGTTTGGGACCTGATGGTATCCCAAACCTCTTTTTCAAAAAGTGTGCTGACGTCCTATGCTATCCATTCACTACCATCTTTAATAGATCATTCTCTTCTAACCTCATACCGAAAATGTCGAGAAAGATGAAGATAATCCCCATACCTAAGAAAGCATCTGGTGATAAGAATGTGAAATTCAGACCGATTTCAATAACTTCACCCTTCCTCAAAACAATGGAAATATTATTGACACTTTCACTTCAGCCTGCGATAAAAGAGCACATTGACCAGTATCAGTTTGCTTACAGATGCAAAAGAAGCACCTTAGATGCTGTTGCTATTTTGCATCATAATATAGTGTTCAACCTAGAAAAGGGTAAGAATTATGTTCGATGCGCTCTCCTGGACTATACTTCTGCTTTTGATTCTATACCAAGACAACGTTTACTTAATCAGCGTCAACACTGACAGCTGGATAACCAACTGGCTATGTTCCTACCTCTCTGGAAGGGAACAGTATACAGTGTTTCTAGGAAAGTGTTCAGAGTCTCTAGTGTCTTATGAAGGTGTACCACAAGGAGCTGTCCTCTCACCTCTTCTTTTCTCTTTTTTTCTGCATGATCTGCCATCTTCCACAGTAAACACCTTTGTGAAATATGCAGATGATCTCACTGTTTGTATGCCTATCTCTTCCTCTTTACATCCTATAGAAATGAATGAGTTTTTATCTCGTGTTGATAGTTGGTCTGTTGTTAATGGTCTCATACTTAGTCCGTCTAAATGTCAAGCTGTTAACTTTAGCATGAGACATGATCGGCATTTAAACACCACTTTGAGATCTCATAATGCTTGTGCCATTGGAGACTCATTGATAAACACAGTGTCGACGGTCAATTATCTTGGTGTTACCTTTTCGTCTGATCTCTCTTGGTCTTCTCACCTTTTATTGTTATCGAAGAAAGTTTTCCGTCTGACTTACTACATTAAGAGATTGCATGATTTTGGGATCACTCGTCATTTACTCCTACAATTTGTCAATTCTTGCATATTACCTATTATTCTTTACTGTTCTCCATTATTCTTTCCCGGGCTTTTGAGAAAAGACTTTGCTGTACTGCGGAGAGCGCTTAAGGCAGTTAGCAAGGTATGTGGTGAATCTTTTGAGACTATAATTAATATGGTTGTGGATAGACATCTAAAGTCATGCAAACTCCTGGCAGGTGTTATTTTATCAGATACTAACCATCCCCTTCATTCATATCTTTCTCCTTGTATATCTTCTGGTAGAACGAGACGAAATTACATTAAAATCCAAACACGCAAGCAAAAGTATAAAAGTTCTATAATACCTTACCTGGCAAATATACTCTGTGACGAACAGGATGTTAGAGTTAACCTAGTCAATAATCTGCATTCTTAACATGACACTAATTGAAAAGTTGTACAGTTTTTCAGATTTTTTTATTATCAACCTATTTTTTCTGTAAAAGAAACTTGTTGAAATATTTTTTGTGCTGAGAATTCTATATTGTACCAAAATATAATATTGGATAAAGCCATAAATAAATAAATAAATACACCCAGCTCCGTCCTGGAGAATCCCAT